ATTTTGAAATTCAACAAGGTAATCATAGTTGTGGGACCTTTTATCATTATACAATTATATTTTACATAATTATGAGCTCAAAAGCCTTTTTCGGGGCGTTCAGTTGTATGGAGGCAAGGTGAAATAATGGTCGTTTCAATAGGCTTCGTCTTTGCAAACGTATATGCCAAATTTCATAAAATTATTTTGAAAATTGCGACCTGTACTTTGATAACAACGTTTACGGACGGTCGGACGGATATAGTTAAATCGACCCAGAGAGTGATTCTGAGTCAATCGGTATACTTTAAGGTGGGTATAGTATTGATTGAACAAATCAAGCACAAATTTCCTCAACTATGAAAGAAACCCTATGGTCAGCATTTTCTACTTAAAATAACAAAAGTTTGAACGTAAAAAAACAAATGTGGACTAGTTATTTTCTATAAATGATTCAATTAAAAATTTTTCTAAAATGTTTTTAAAAATAAATGCAAAATAATATTCGTTTTAAACAAAATTTCACTCTATAAGAGTAAATTTATTTATTTGGTGTTTTTTTTTTTTTTTTCATCAGTCATATAAATTCCATAAACAAATTCTTTGCACTCTTTCAATATCAACAAAGCCTTCAATTCTAAATCTACTTGCGCAACAAGTAAGAAGCAGCATAAGGATATGCAGAATAGGCAGCAGTATAAGGAGCAGCTACATAAGGAGAAGCAGCATAGGGGAAGGCAGAGTAAGCAGAATAGGCAGCAGCATAAGGAGCAGTGTAAGCAGCAGCGTAAGGTGTGGTATAAGCAGCAGTGTAGGGAGCAGCAGCTACTACGGGAGCCGAGTAAGCCAAAGGAGCCACAATACCGGGTTTAGCGGCAGCTAAGGCAATAACAGCGAATAAACACAAAACGAACTATAAAATGGAAAATAGTTTTATTATTAATTTTTATTTTAAAGGTAAATAAACTTTTTTAAAACTTACGAATTTGAACATTTTGTTTGATTTGTTTAGTTTTACAGATTTTACTGAACTGATAACTAATTGTTAATAATTAAAGGTTTTTATACTAATTTTAGTTTTTTAGTAAATTATAAATATTTGCATAAATATTTAAATTTTGTTTTTTTTTGCTAAATGTTTAAAATTAAAACTTTTTTGCCAGCAAGGTTAGTTTGTAATTGTGGGTGCTGTTGATTGATAGAATTTTAATTTTTACTGTTGCTGATTTTAACCGTTAAATATCTGTAATATATATTTCCGATTTACTTATAATTTTACAATAATGCAAATATGTGTAAACAATTAACATTTTCAATGAAGGTCTCATTAAAATTTTGGCAACGTTTGGTTTAAGAAACTACTTTTTGAATTATTACCTTAAAAATTTGTATATTATTTGGTTGAGACTTTAATTTGTATAGTGAAGTATGTATATGGATAAGACTACAGTTTTGGTAACAATGTATATTATAGAGTCTTAATTCAGGCCATAGTACAGATTATAGTCTAAACTAGGGAATATAGTAGAGGCTATAGTTGAGACTTAAGCTCAGAACTAGAACTGAACTAGAACGAAAAAGAACTGCACTGGAAATGACCTAAAACTGACCTGGAAATGAACTAAAACTGAACCAGACCTGAATTAAGGAAAACTAAACATAGAACTGAACTAGAGAACTAGAACTAACTGAACTAGAACGAACTAGAACTAGAACTGAACTAGAACTGAACTAGAAACTGAAGACTAGAACTGAACTAGAACTGAACTAGAACTGAACTAGAACTAGAACTGAACTAGAACTGAACTAGAACTGAACTAGAACTGAACTAGAACTAGAACTGAACTAGAAACTGAACTAGAACTGAACTAGAACTAGAACTAGAACTGAACTGAACTGAACTAGAACTGAACTAGAACTGAACTAGAACTGAACTAGAACTGAACTAGAACTGAACTAGAACTGAACTAGAACTGAACTAGAACTGAACTAGAACTGAAACTAGAACTGAACTAGAACTGAACTAGAACTGAACTAGAACTGAACTAGAACTGAACTAGAACTGAACTAGAACTGAACTAGAACTGAACTAGAACTGAACTAGAACTAACTAGAACTGAACTAGAACTGAACTAGAACTGAACTAGAACTGAACTAGAACTGAACTATGAACTAGAACTGAACTAGAACTGAACTAGAACTGAACTAGAACTGAACTAGAACTGAACTAGAACTGAACTAGAACTGAACTAGAACTGAACTAGAACTGAACTAGAACTGAACTAGAACTGAACTAGAACTGAACTAGAACCTGAACTAGAACTGAACTAGAACTGAACTAGAACTGAACTAGAACTGAACTAGAACTGAACTAGAACTGACTAGAACGAACTAGAACTGAACTAGAACTGAACTAGAACTGAACTAGAACTGAACTAGAACTGAACTAGAACTGAACTAGAACTGAACTAGAACTGAACTAGAACTAGAACTGACTAACTGAACTAGAACTGAACTAGAACTGAACTAGAACTGAACTAGAACTGAACTAGAACTGAACTAGAACTGAACTAGAACTGAACTAGAACTGAACTAGAACTGAAGTAGAACTGAAGTAGAACTGAACTAGAACTGACTAGAACTGAACTAGAACTGAACTAGAACTGAACTAGAACTGAACTAGAACTGAACTAGAACTGAACTGGAACTGAACTAATAGTGAACTAGAACTAATAGTGAACTAGAACTGAACTAGAACTGAACTAGAAATAGAACTGAACTAGAACTGAACTAGAAAATAGAACTGAACTAGAACTGAACTAGAACTGAACTAGAACTGAACTAGAACTGAACTAGAACTAGAACTGAACTAGAACTAAACTAGAACTGAACTAGAACTGAACTAGAACTGAACTAGAACTGAACTAGTGCTGAACTAGAACTGAACTAGAACTGAACTAGAACTGAACTAGAACTGAACTTGAACTGAATTAGAACTGAACTAGAACTGAACTAGAACTGAACTAGAACTGAACTAGAACTGAACTAGAACTGAACTAGAACTGAACTAGAACTGAACTAGAACTAGAACTGAACTAGAACTGAACTAGAACTGAACTAGAACTGAACTAGAACTGAACTAGAACTGAACTAGAACTGAACTAGAACTGAACTAGAACTGAACTAGAACTGAACTAGAACTGACTAGAACTGAACTAGAACTGAACTAGAACTGAACTAGAACTGAACTAGAACTGAACTAGAACTGAACTAGAACTGAACTAGAACTGAACTAGAACTGAACTAGAACTGAACTAGAACTGAACTAGAACTGAACTAGAACTGAACTAGAACTGAAATAGAACTGAACTAGCAGTGAACTAAAACTAAATTTATAATTTAGTTGTTGAGACTACAATTATGACTATAGTCAACACTATAGTTAAGAATATAGTCAAGACCATAGTTCCAACTATAGTAGAGGTCTTAGTTGAGACTGCAGTTCAGACAATCCAGACTCTAGACTATAGGTTAAACTAAAAAGTAATAAGTACTACAAAATCTTAATGAAATTCTTCGATTCATTTTGTAACTAAAGTAATACAATTAATAAAACCTTCTTATCATTAAACACCAAATAGGAAACAATTGTTTTAACAGCTACTAAATTGCTAAAAACAATACTTCCAAATGTCAATGACCAATAACTTATCAACAAACACGTCTCACAGTAATAGTAACAAATTGTTAGTGGCCATTCCTACACAGACATTAATTGACCAAATTATGCAAATTTTAAATTTTTAAACAAAATTAAACGAAAAGCAATTTTTTTATTATAAAAACTCATTTACAAACACCAATTAGTATCAGTTCAAAAAGTTCTGTAAAACTAAACAAACCCAAACAAATTAAACAAAATGTTCAAATTCGTAAGTTTTCAAAAGAAATTTTGCCAATTGAAATAAAAACTAATAAAAAAATATATTATTTCTATTTCAGTTCGCTTTGTGTTTGTTCGCTGTTGTTTAGCTGCCGCTAAACCCGGTATTGTGGCTCCTTTGGCTTACTCGGCTCCTGTAGTAGCTGCTGCTCCCTATACTGCTGCTTACACTGCACCCTACGCTGCTGCTTACACTACTCCTTATGCTGCTGCCTACTCTGCTTACTCTGCCTACCCCTATGCTGCTTCTCCTTACGTAGCTGCTCCTTACACCGCTGCCTACTCCGCTTATCCTTATGCTGCTTCTTACTTGTTGCGCAAGTAGTTTGGGAACTATAGGCTTTCAAAAGAGTGCAAAGAATTTGTTTATGGAACTTAAATAACTGATGAAAAAAAAACTAAATAAACTTGCTCTTATAGAGTGAAATTTTATTAAAACGATATGAATTTGTGTTTTTTTATTTTAAAATGTTGAAGAAAATTTTCAAGTATCTTAAAAATTTCCCAAGTAATTAGAGTTTCGCAGACATATCGAAAACGCTATTTACTTTATTTTGTTTAATCAATTTTTAAAAAAATCTCAACTTTAAACAATTTTCGAATTAAATTCCTCTTTATTTTGGAACACTCATTAAAATTCCAATTAATGATTCATTTTGCTCCATAAAATTGTTAATAAATCAAATAAATTGCTTGTGTTACTACCGCTACGTGATTGCTACTTGTATTCACTACGTCATTATATAGTTTACATACGTGTTTAAGTTTTTTTTTTGCTGCATTTGAAAGTACATTTTTTTCAATTAGTTTATATTTATTGTAGCATTAATAAACTTTAATTTTAAAGTTAATAAAAAAATGATTTGTTTTAATGTTTGATTTTCTTTGAATAACAATTACTACGTGTTTGTGTTTTACAATAGTTTTAAAAATATATATTATTGTGTGTATAGGTTCAAATAATGGTCATGGTAAATAATCAATACTTTTTTTTTAATTTGACGGAAGTGCATAGAAATTATATGGGAATATTATTTATAGTAAAGTTAAGAGTTATAAAGCTGAACTAGAACTGAACTAGAACTGAACTAGAACTGAACTAGAACTGAACTAGAACTGAACTAGAACTGAACTAGAACTGAACTAGAACTGAACTAGAATTGAACTAGAACTGAACTAGAACTGAACTAGAACTGAACTAGAACTGAACTAGAACTGAACTAGAACTGAACTAGAACTGAACTAGAACTGAACTAGAACTGAACTAGAACTGAACTAGAACTGAACTAGAACTGAACTAGAACTGAACTAGAACTGAACTAGAATTGAACTAGAACTGAACTAGAACTGAACTAGAACTGAACTAGAATTGAACTAGAACTGAACTAGAACTGAACTAGAACTGAACTAGAACTGAACTAGAACTGAACTGAACTGAACTAGAACTGAACTAGAACTGAACTAGAATTGAACTAGAACTGAACTAGAACTGAACTAGAACTAAACTAGAACTGAACTAGAACTGAACTAGAACTGAACTAGAACTGAACTAGTGCTGAACTGGAACTGAACTAGAACTGAACTAGAACTGAACTAGAATTGAACTAGAACTGAACTAGAACTGAACTAGAACTAAACTAGAACTGAACTAGAACTGAACTAGAACTGAACTAGAACTGAACTAGTGCTGAACTAGAACTGAACTAGAACTGAACTAGAACTGAACTAGAACTGAACTAGAACTGAACTAGAACTGAACTAAAACTGAACTAGAACTGAACTAGAACTGAACTAGAACTGAACTAGAACTGAACTAGAACTGAACTAGAACTGAACTAGAACTGAACTAGAACTGAACTAGAACTGAACTAGAACTGAACTAGAACTGAACTAGAACTTCCTGGAAAATTTTGTAAAAATTGCCTTTAAATATAAAATTTTGTAAAAATCTTCTTTAAACAGAAAATTTATTTTTTAACCGAAATAAAATATTTAATAGAATTGCCAAAATGTTTTTAATACCCTTGAATTATGTATTACATTTATAAATTTTAAAGCAATAACGAATAGTTAACTATTGTTTACAGAACATTTTTATAAAAATTTCAATTTATAAAAAATAAAGAAAAAAAATGTATGACACACAAACCCACACACTCCCTTAAAACAAACCACCGACTTGCAAACTGTCCAAAACGATTGGCCTTACGAAAAAAGACGTGCTTGGCTAAAATATGCAAATTTTAATTGTTTACCATTAAACCATTAAAACTTTTTACTATAAATACCAAAAATCAATAAATAAATAATATCAGTTCAATAAGTTCTGTTAACAAAACAATTAAAACAAAAAAACTAAAACAAAATGTTCAAATTCGTAAGTTTTATTGAAAACTCTTTAATATAATTATTTCAAATTAATTTAATTTTCTTTAACTTCTAGTTCGCTTTGTGCTTGTTCGCTGTTGTTGCCTTGGCTGCCGCTAAACCCGGTATTGTGGCTCCTTTGGCTTACTCAGCTCCCGTAGTAGCTGCTGCTCCCTATACTGCTGCTTACACCGCACCCTACGCTGCTGCTTACACTACTCCTTATGCTGCTGCCTACTCTGCTTACTCTGCCTTCCCCTATGTTGCTTCTCCTTATGTAGCTGCTCCTTACACCGCTGCCTACTCTGCTTATCCTTATGCTGCTTCTTACTTGTTGCGCAAGTAAATATCTCAGTAAAATTTTTTAATGTTTAGCTGTAATTTGTTGTCGGTTGTTATGTGAAGGAAAAATTTTGTTACTGTTAACTAAGTGACTGCTGAAAAAATTTAAATGAAAACAATTAAATTTATTTACTTGAAAATAAAGTAGATAATTAACGAAACGTTTGTGTCTTTATTTATATTAGAATATGTGAAAAATAATAAAAAAAAAATTATACTATAGACTAGACTATATACTAGAATATAGACTAGACTATAGACTAGACTATAGACTAGACTATAGACTACACTATAGACTAGACTATAGACTAGACTATAGACTAGACTATAGACTAGACTATAGACTAGACTAAAAAGAAAATTTGTATCGAACATTTTCTATAAAAAGTAATTTTTTATCGAAAGTTTTCTATAAAAAGTAAAAAATTTTTATCGAAAGTTTTCTATAAAAAGTAAAAAAATTTTATCGAATGTTTTCTATAAAAAGTAAAAAATTTTTATCGAAAGTTTTCTATAAAAAGTAAAAAATTTTATCGAAAATTTTCTATAAAAAGAAAATTTTCTATAAAAAGAAAATTTTTATCGAAAATTTTCTATAAAAAGAAAATTTTTATCGAAAATTTTCTATAAAAAGAAAATTTTTATCGAAAATTTTCTATAAAAAGAAAATTTTTATCGAAAATTTTCTATAAAAAGAAAATTTTTATCGAAAATTTTCTATAAAAAGAAAATTTTTATCGAAAATTTTCTATAAAAAGAAAATTTTTATTGAAAATTTTCTATAAAAAGAAAATTTTTATCGAAAATTTTCTATAAAAAGAAAAATTTTATCGAAAATTTTCTATAAAAAGAAAATTTTCTATAAAAAGAAAATTTTCTATAAAAAGAAAATTTTTATCGAACATTTTCTATAAAAAGAAAATTTTTATCGAAAATTTTCTATAAAAAGAAAATTTGTATCGAACATTTTCTATAAAAAGAAAATTTGTATCGAACATTTTCTATAAAAAGAAAATTTGTATCGAAAATTTTCTATAAAAAGAAAATTTGTATCGAAAATTTTCTATAAAAAGAAAATTTGTATCGAAAATTTTCTATAAAAAGAAAATTTGTATCGAAAATTTTCTATAAAAAGAAAATTTGTATCGAAAATTTTCTATAAAAAGAAAATTTGTATCGAAAATTTTCTATAAAAAGAAAATTTGTATCGAAAATTTTCTATAAAAAGAAAATTTGTATCGAAAATTTTCTATAAAAAGAAAATTTGTATCGAAAATTTTCTATAAAAAGAAAATTTGTATCGAAAATTTTCTATAAAAAGAAAATTTGTATCGAAAATTTTCTATAAAAAGAAAATTTTTATCGAAAATTTTCTATAAAAAGGAAATTTTTATCGAAAATTTTCTATAAAAAGGAAATTTTTATCGAAAATTTTATATAAAAAGGAAATTTTTATCGAAAATTTTATATAAAAAGAAAATTTTTATCGAAAATTTTATATAAAAAGAAAATTTGTATCGAAAATTTCCTATAAAAAGAAAATTTGTATCGAAAATTTCCTATAAAAAGAAAATTTGTATCGAAAATTTTCTATAAAAAGAAAATTTTTATCGAAAATTTTCTATAAAAAGAAAATTTGTATCGAAAATTTTCTATAAAAAGAAAATTTGTATCGAAAATTTTCTATAAAAAGAAAATTTGTATCGAAAATTTTCTATAAAAAGAAAATTTGTATCGAAAATTTTCTATAAAAAGAAAATTTGTATCGAAAATTTTCTATAAAAAGAAAATTTGTATCGAAAATTTTCTATAAAAAGAAAATTTTTATCGAAAATTTTCTATAAAAAGAAAATTTGTATCGAAAATTTTCTATAAAAAGAAAATTTGTATCGAAATTTTTCTATAAAAAGAAAATTTTTATCGAAATTTTTCTATAAAAAGAAAATTTTTATCGAAAATTTTCTATAAAAAGAAAATTTTTATCGAAAATTTTCTATAAAAAGTGTATTTTTATCGAAAATTTTCTATAAAAAGTGTATATTTATCGAAAATTTTCTATAAAAAGTGTATTTTTATCGAAAATTTTCTATAAAAAGTGTATTTTTATCGAAAATTTTCTATAAAAAGTGTATTTTTATCGAAAATTTTGTATAAAAAGAACATTTTTATCGAAAATTTTGTATAAAAAGAAAATTTGTATCGAAAATTTTGTATAAAAAGAAAATTTGTATCGAAAATTTTGTATAAAAAGAAAATTTGTATCGAACATTTTCTATAAAAAGAAAATTTGTATCGAAAATTTTCTATAAAAAGTAAATTTTTATCGAAAAATTTCTATAATACGTAAATTTTAATCGAAAATTTTCTACAAAAAGTAAATTTTTATCGAAAATTTTCTATAAAAAGTAAATTTTTATCGAAAATGTTCTATAAAAAGTAAATTGTTATCGAAAATTTTCAACAAAAAGCAAATTTTTATCGAAAAATTTATATAAAAAGTAAATTTTTATCGAAAATTTTCTAAAAAACAAAATTTTTATCAAAAAATTTTCAATTAAATAGTAAAAAAATTTTATAATTTTTTGTCACATTTTTTCTAAAGTAAAATTATTTTATTTTTTTCTGGATTTCATTTATAGTTTTTTCATTTTTTATCGTTTTCAAAATCAACAAATAACATTAAATATTAACAAATTCTTCTTTAAAATATAAAATCTATTTGCGCAAAACATAAGAAGCAGCATAAGGATAAGCAGAGTAGGCAGCAGTATAAGGAGCAGCTACATAAGGATAAGCAGAGTAAGCGGAGTAGGCAGCAGCATAAGGAGCAGTGTAAGCGGCAGTGTAAGGGGCGGTATAAGCAGCAGTGTAGGGGGCGGCAGCTACTACGGGAGCAGAGTAAGCCAAGGGAGCGACAATACCGGGTTTAGCGGCAGCCAAGGCAATTACAGCGAACAAGCACAAAGCGAACTATAGGATAAGAAAAAAATGTACAATTTAAAAATTTAATCCTTTAATTGATTTGCACTTAAAAACTTACGAATTTGAACATTTTGTTTTGATTTTTTTAGTTTTGCTAACACGTTAGTTTTAAAACTGATAGTATTAAATAAAAAACATTTACATTTTATACTAAAATTGTTGAAAAAAAAAAGATTAAAATAAAACTAAAACGTTTTAAACACTTTAAATGTTTTAGCCAGGCACGTCTTCCTGGTGAAGGTCAGCTGTCTGTGTTTATTTTATGGTAAACTTGGCTTTAATGTTTTAATTTCATTTTCATTTAATAAAAAAAAATTAAAAGTGTTTTTTTCTACAAAGACTGCCACTGTAAATGACACATGAATGTAGGTTTAGGTGGGTGTTTTTTGGCTTTTATGTTTTGAAAATTGTTGCTGTTGTTTTGGTTTTTAATTAAATATTCTAGAAGCATTTCATAATTAAATTCATTTTCCATATTCTAATGCACTAAGTGACGAACTCAGCCACAAATTTATATAAATACTTGTGTATGACAAAATACCAGTTAAGAATATTGAAACTTTTTTTTGGAAATGAATTGATTTATTCATAAATTAATTTTTTGAGGTTATTATATAATAATATTAAAATTAAATTATAATTTGTTTTACAAAATTTATTATAGAACTTTTGACCCTGGCATTGATTTTTGTTGATATTTAAAGAATCAAGTTGATGTGTGTTTGTAACGTTTCTAAGAATTTGCAGTTTTGTTTGGGTGAATTAAATGTGAATTAAATATGAAGGTGATGTCTCTAGTCTATAGTTAAGTTTATAGTCTAGTCTATAGTCTAGTCTATAGTCTAGTCTATAGTCTAGTCTATAGTCTAGTCTATAGTCTAGTCTATAGTCTAGTCTATAGTCTAGTCTATAGTCTAGTCTATAGTCTAGTCTATAGTCTAGTCTATAGTCTAGTCTATAGTCTAGTCTATAGTCTAGTCTATAGTCTAGTCTATAGTCTAGTCTATAGTCTAGTCTATAGTCTAGTCTATAGTCTAGTCTATAGTCTAGTCTATAGTCTAGTCTATAGTCTAGTCTATAGTCTAGTCTATAGTCTAGTCTATAGTCTAGTCTATAGTCTAGTCTATAGTCTAGTCTATAGTCTAGTCTATAGTCTAGTCTATAGTCTAGTCTATAGTCTAGTCTATAGTCTAGTCTATAGTCTAGTCTATAGTCTAGTCTATAGTCTAGTCTATAGTCTAGTCTATAGTCTAGTCTATAGTCTAGTCTATAGTCTAGTCTATAGTCCTAGTCTATAGTCTAGTCTATAGTCTAGTCTATAGTCTAGTCTATAGTCTAGTCTATAGTCTAGTCTATAGTCTAGTCTATAGTCTAGTCTATAGTCTAGTCTATAGTCTAGTCTATAGTCTAGTCTATAGTCTAGTCTATAGTCTAGTCTATAGTCTAGTCTATAGTCTAGTCTATAGTCTAGTCTAGTCTAGTCTATAGTCTAGTCTATAGTCTAGTCTATAGTCTAGTCTATAGTCTAGTCTTAGTCTAGTCTATAGTCTAGTCTATAGTCTAGTCTATAGTCTAGTGCTATAGTCTAGTCTATAGTCTAGTCTATAGTCTAGTCTATAGTCTAGTCTATAGTCTAGTCTATAGTCTAGCTATAGTCTAGTCTATATCTAGTCTATAGTCTAGTCTATAGTCTAGTCTCTAGTCTAGTCTATAGTCTAGTCTATAGTCTAGTCTATAGTCTAGTCTATAGTCTAGTCTATAGTCTAGTCTAATGTCTAGTCCTATAGTCTAGTCTATAAGTCTAGTCTATAGTCTAGTCTATAGTCTAGTCTATAGTCTAGTCTATAGTCTAGTCCATAGTCTAGTCTATAGTCTAGTCTATAGTCTATGTCTATAGTCTAGTCTATAGTCGAGTCTATAGTCTAGTCTATAGTCTAGTCTATAGTCTAGTCTATAGCTATAGTCTAGTCTATAGTCTAGTCTATAGTCTAGTCTATAGTCTAGTCTATAGTCTAGTCTATAGTCTAGTCTATAGTCTAGTCTATAGTCTAAGTCTATAGTCTAGTCTATAGTCTAGTCTATAGTCTAGTCTATAGTCTAGTCTATAGTCTAGTCTATAGTCTAGTACTATAGTCTAGTCTATAGTCTAGTCTATAGTCTAGACTATAGTCTAGTCTATAGTCTAGTCTATAGTCTAGTCTATAGTCTAGTCTATAGTCTAGTCTATAGTCTAGTCTATAGTCTAGTCTATAGTCTAGTCTATAGTCTAGTCTATAGTCTAGTCTATAGTCTAGTCTATAGTCTAGTCTATAGTCTAGTCTATAGTCTAGTCTATAGTCTAGTCTATAGTCTAGTCTATAGTCTAGTCTATAGTCTAGTCTATAGTCTAGTCTATAGTTCTAGTCTATAGTCTAGTCTATAGTCTAGCTCTATAGTCTAGTCTATAGTCTAGTCTATAGTCTAGTCTAGTCTAAAGTCTTGTCTAGTGTAGTCTATAGTCTAATCTGTCTGTAGTATAGTAGGTAGTATATTCTATAGTCTAGTATATAGTCTATAGTATAGTATTTTGTCTAGTCTGCAGTCTAGTCTTTAAAATAGTCTATAATCTAGTCTATAGTCTAGTCTAAAACCTAAAAAGTACTATTTTGTTATAAGTTAGTACTATTTTAAAATTTTAATTTTTCAGTAATGGAAATGCGAAATTGTATGTGCTGATTCAAACGAATGTAGAACATGTGAGGACACAGTGAAACTCTGAAGCACTTTCTTTGTCAATTGTAAATCTGCTAAGAATACTTCATTTTATCTTACAACCTCAAATAATTTAAACAACAAAACCCAAATAAATCTTTATTTAAACGAATCAAAAAAAATGGTATTTTCAGTACTTATTAGGGTGATCGATTATTCGACATTTTTCAAAAACCGGTTTTCGAATAGTTCGAATAGCTGACATTTAAAAAAAACCGGTTGATATTTTTCAAATTCAGAAAAAACCGGTTAACCGGTTTTTTTTATAAATAAAAAAAATATATTTTAATTTGAAAAACTTAATGTTTATGTTTAAATTTGATTAATAAAACTTGACCCGAAATGATTTTTAACAGTTTAAAAGATTATAACTTTAGATCTAGTCGTCTGATTTACTTTATTTCTATAATATAAAAAAATTAGGAAAAAAGTGGGACACTTCTGTTATACATAAGGTACTATGTAATCCTAGCTTATTTTAAAAGCCCTGTTTTGGAAATCCGCATAGGCATTCCAACACTTCCATAAAATTTCAGCCGTAAATTAATTATTGTAATTGGAATATAATCTTAAGATTGATAAAATTTTATCAAACAGTTATCAGTTTTACAAATTATTTTTTTTAATTAATTAGGAAAATCAAAAAAGTTTAACGCTAGTTCCTCGACTCGAATATTTTTAAAATTTAGACGGGCTGTATTATTATTTACTTAAAAATTTCATTTAAATAATCTTTGAATACAAAGCAAATAAAAGTATTCGAAACCGGTTTTTAAAAAATGAAAAAACCGGGTTATTCGATATTCGAAAAATCAACATTAAGAAAAAACCGACACTGGTAAAGCAGAAAAAACCGGTTTTAAAACCGGTTGAAAAATCGAGTCGATCACCCTAGTACTTATGTTATAAACAAAATACCTGCTAGCAAAGTTTATAAAAGTAATCAAACTTTGTTTTTATTAAAAACTTAAAATTATTTTCAGTTGCTAATAAAATGTACAGGTATTGTAAACGTTTGTTATATAACCCAGTAAATAATGGAAATTAACAAAAAAATTGTTGTTAATTTGTAACCAGAATCTTAATTTGAATATAAACTAGAATCCAAATTCGAATCATAATTTCAATCTGAATTAGAATTTTAATCTGAACCAGAATCTGAACTAGAATATTAAGTGGAATCTAAGTTTTTTGGTTTGCTGGGTTTATTATTCTGTTTAATTTGCTGGTTTGCTGGGTTAAAAACCATTTAAATACCTTCATGTCTATGTAGTAGAAAAACTTTTTTAACTTTTAACATGTAAATATTTTGGCATGTAAATCTACTTGTAATATCAACTTAATCTTTGTTAAAAATTCTATAAACTAAATACACATGTAACTTCTACCCTTTTTACATCGTATGGAGGAAAAAAATCTGCTAGTTTTCCTTTTTTTTATAACAGATTTTTGTTGTCTTTTGATGTTTATAATCCTGTTTACTTTTTAAATATAAAATACTAGAGTAAATCAAAAATACTACAGATTAAATGTACGATACTGTAGAACATTTTAGAGCAATTTTTGGTGAAAAGAAGTCTTGTTTATATTATTGAGAAGTGATGCTGCAAAGCGTCCTAGGTTGTAGTGGTTTTTGGGTCAAGTCTCAAACATTTTGAACCGATTATCCTGATTGTTAATAACGCATAATTCGATTCTATGTTTAAAATAATAATTCATGTTTTCGGTCCGTAAGATTCTTGGGGCTTTCGAAATTGTACAGATGGACAGAAATGTTTATGTATTTTAAAAACAGTGATTCCCTTTATTTTATTTCAATCTTTTAAAATTTAACAATTGCTCCATATTTTCTAAACATTCTACTTTTTGTTCGTTATTTATTTTTCATATTCAATATTAGACCTGATGAACTAAATTTGATTTTGTAGATGGTCGGTTGGACGGTCGTCTGTCTATTTAATTGCATCAAGGGAAATGAACACAAATGTGACATAATTGGCTCAACCAACAAAAAGAGAAAACCTCTAAAAAAAGAGCTAAAATAAAAGCACCTCAAATAAATATAAAGAAAGAAAAAAGATACAAATCGAAACAAGAAAATCATATGTTATTTTTAGGTAAACATTAATGTGTAAACAGGGTTGGTTTTTTTTGTCTCTAATGGGGTTTTGTTCAATTTCTTTTTTGGCTGTTGTACCAGGTTATTGGCATAGTAAACCATGAATGGTGCTGATGATGATAATGACGCTAAAAGTGGTCAAGCAAAAAGGTAATGTAAAGTAAGATTTACATATACACACATACATACATATGTATTTGTAGACAGATATGACATGAGTTGGATTATAGGTACGTTTTGTGCAAAAAGGGAAATGTACGCCAAATTACTTTTAGCTTTAATTTAGACCACTAGAATCTGAATTAGAATGGGTAACTAGAATATGAATTAAAATCTGAATTAGAATCTAAACTACAATCTGCATTCGAATCGGAACTAGAATCTGAACTAGAATTTGAATTAGAATCTGAACTAGAATGATTAATAAAATTCCCATTCGATTCTGAACTAAAACCATGATTAAAATGTGA